GTAGAGGCGAGTTCATAAGTAGAGGTAAATTTTTGGGGCCGGAGCTGGTCATATCTCGAAAAATTCGTAAGTAGGGGCGTTCGTAAGTAGAGGCGAGTTCATAAGTAGAGGTAAATTTTTGGGGCCGGAGCTGGTCATATCTCGAAAAATTCGTAAGTAGGGGCGTTCGTAAGTAGAGGCGAGTTCATAAGTAGAGGTAAATTTTTGGGGCCGGAGCTGGTCATATCTCGAAAAATTCGTAAGTAGGGGCGTTCGTAAGTAGAGGCGAGTTCATAAGTAGAGGTAAATTTTTGGGGCCGGAGCTGGTCATATCTCGAAAAATTCGTAAGTAGGGGCGTTCGTAAGTAGAGGTACCACTGTAATTAGAACATAATTTAAAACAAGTGATATAAATTAAAAATTGATATATTTATGTACCTTATTGGTAAATGTGATTTGGCTTCTAGAACATATACAAATATTTTGAATCTTTCATAGGTTCGCCTGAATGCAGAGGAATGTACCGATGTTTTGAAGCGTTGGGTGGATCATCTTTGTTCTCCACAAATCAATCAAAAATCCAAGGCGATCCTTGTTCTTCTTTCCTTGGGTTGTTTCATGAGAGTGGCAGAGATGTTACATAGGTCAGTTCATATATTTTCTTCTGTCTACTTAAAAACATGAGCCACTTCTCTGTATACTTTGCACTTTTAAAAAATCAACATCAAAAAAAAAAATCAAGCAGATATAACCTCTTGAAAATGAAAATTTAAAAGGCCTATCTGAATAAAGATGCCTGTTTGTCAGTTCAAATATATATGTTTTCAGAAAGAAAGATATTAATTCTATAAAGAATCTGATTAGGATGCCCAGCTATCTGGGAATTAGTCTGGGTGAAGTCAATTTATGAGCCAGGTGTTGGACCGCTTAAGCAACAATATCAAAAGGAGTGCCTTGTTTATGCTGTTACATGGCAAAAATGGTACTTTTTGACATCATAAAGCAAATGGAATGAGGCATTAACTCTTTGTGGTATATTTGAAGTTATATTCTGAGTGAAAATGTAGTTCCACAGAAATATATAAAAAAATATGTAAATGCAGCTAAAATTCCTTAGTTAGACCTCTGTTTCTGTAGAGGCTTGTAGTATACTTTCCAAGCAACAGATTTTTTTTTTTGTAAATAACTTATATAAATATGCACAAGTTGAATAAAACTGAAAATGAAACCAAAAGGCATAAAATGGAAGAGATCAAACTCTTGTGTCTCTCGCCATACATTTTTCCAAGTAAGTATGTAATATATTTATTTGAACAGTAATATGTTTATTTGCTTTTATGAATAGAAACACATGCACTTTATCAATTCTTATTCACATTTTAGTGACTGAACTTGTGGTTTTCTCTAAAGTTTTGCATCAAAGGCATCAATGAATGTTGCAGATATCTGAAGAAGTCTTTCTGCACAGTGACAAAATATATTTTTAAGGTGTCAAACACGCATAACACAATTTTTATGTTATATCACAATCATTCATTCTTCTTTTCAACAGCATGAGGCATTTTGATCGAGCTGCACTGTTTCTTGAAGCCTGCCTCAAGTATGGCACTATTGAAGTTAATGAAGATGCAAATATCCTTTTTGAAATTATGCATATATTCAAATGTAGAAACCTATTAAATAGTGCAGTTCCTTATTAGGTGTTGTGCATATAAACCTTTTTTTCAGTCTGAGAAGAAAACAAAAAGATAACATTTTCCAAGGAATTAAGGAGGACTATAGAATCCAAGTGATCACAGGCAGTGTGTTAAATTGGAAACATATATTTCAGTGTCAGGTATTTTCAGATCTTACTACAAGATTAAACACAGTGCCAGCTTGAAGCATTGTCATCCAGAAATCTGATACCTGATTGTTCATTTCTATATTCCTTAACCTGCCTTTCACAAAAATTAATCCATGCAATATTTGCAGATTATGCCAGAAGCCTGAAGTCTCTGGGGTTTAAGCAGGCTGCTGTTTTGTTTGCCACCAAAGCAGGAGTACCAGGCAAAAATCTATTGAGTGAACTTGAACAACTGAAGGAAGGGATCAAAGAATGAGAACTCTTTAGAAGACAGCTAGAAGTTGAGATTTCCCATGGGATGAGTCATCAGTGCAATATTTCTTCAGAAACAGTGAAGGTTTTTTTTAAAAAAATACACATCTTTTATCACAATAGAAATATAACTAAAGAATGTCTTGTATTTTGTTTTAACATTGGTAGAGATACTTTTGGGGTAAACAGTGTTATATTTGTCTTTGACTAAAAACTGTGTCTGTAAAAGCTTTTAGCAACATAAGAAAATGGATATTTATCTTAAAGTATGGTTTAAAATTTGTGAACTAGAGTCAGTCCAACATTTTGCTGCTCCACAAGATTTAACATTGCATCCATGTGTCCCTGAAGTTATGCAAATGATACTGAAAAAACTTTCACACTGCACAAGTCACACAGATATATTCCAGCATGGTTTGAAATTGTTACATCTGGTTTAATCTTCATTGGTTTACAGAAGTGAGTAAATATATTCCTGATCCAAACTATTTATGCATTCAGCATTATAGCTATACTGACGTTTTATTGTGAAATGTGCACGTACAAGAAGATTCTCTTGCCAAAAAGTTAAATGAGTTGCATAAAACTCAGATAGTTTCTCAAATAATCCTGGATACTAATCACAGGTTAGAAATATACATAAAGTTGTTCAAAGGAAACTTGTACATGTCAGTGTAAAGCCATTTTGCAGTCCTCAAACCTGCAAATGCTGTTTTATTCCCAACTGTGATAAAGTTTAAACAAAACACTTGTAGATTTTCTCCATACACCCCAACCTGTGTTTAGTAATAAAAGAACTGTTGTAAACTGGGGAATTAGGGAAAAGCAATTTATGAAATTCCAAAGAGTCAGTTGAACGTGCTTTTCAATAATAATGTAGAAAAAGACCTATCTAGTTCATCCTGTTTCTCCCAGTGGCCAGCCCAAATCCTGAGGGTCATACATTCTCCAGTCGTGTTATTTAGAAGCATGCTGCTTCTGCCTCTGGATTTAGATGATAGCATCACAAAAAGTGACTGCTGATCATCTAATCTTCCATGAATTTGTTTTATCTCGTTTAAAGCTATCTAAATGGTGGCCATAATGAACATGCAACCAGATGAAGATGGTTTTGGCTTAGCTCCATCTAGTTTTACTCTAACAGCTGCTTAACAGATCTTTCTGTTTTAACTTTTTAACACCAGACTTATGTATTAGTTCTTTTCTGTGTGTATCATTGCATTATGTGTGTTTAATCACATACTTCAGAGATAAATTCTAATTACAAACTGCCCCTTTTTGGTTGCTGAGGTTATCAAAGCCTTCTAATTTCACTGTGTTGGATTATTATCCCATAAAATGTATTGGTAGAATAAATCTAAATATCAGAATATACTCAGTCTTTGGAGCAGAGAGAGATTAACGTAGCTGTATTCATCCTGATGGTAAGCAGGATAAGCCATTCTATAAGAGCATCACTTGAATCTATGATGATAGCAGAGGAGGAGTGAACCAACATAATAAGGCTTTAATAAATTCTGTTTCCAAGCAAGCTGAAATAAACATTTACTTCTATGATTGCATATTAATAGGGAATACATGATAACAATATTCAGCTGAATGTGCTTGTTTTCAGGCTTTTTTTGCATTCCATATTTTTAAAATTTCACCATGATTTGCATAAGAGCTGGAGTTCTGCATCCTCACATCTGACAATAGGCAGCTTTGTTAACTAGAAAAACCAATCAGTGCATAATGTGCTATTGAAGTATTGTGAAACAAATTTTTTACTGGGATCACAACAATTACAATTATACTGCTTAATAGTAGTGCATTTGGAGCAGTGAAGGAACAATGAAAATGGGGGGGGGGGGTCCAGCAACTCATACAAGTTTTCAGAGAGAAACACTTTTATACCTGGATCTGCAAATACTTTTCTGTAAACCAGGTAATCAGTTCTGGGTGTAATGTAAATGCATAGGACTGAGAATTCATTGTAACACTTTTGAAAATCTCATATCTCTCTATATCATACAAAGCAATTCACAGATTAGTATTTAATTCTGATTTCAAAAGCACTAGGGTTTAAGGCTGAAAATATTTTAATCTTGATTTGTACATTATTTGAATCATAGGAGACTTTTTACTGTTTTGGGGCTCTTCGATAACAAGATAGTTTGAATGGGTTAGTAAGTGATAGTATGTAAAGAGCATGATTGAATTAAAATAGCTGTAGTAATCACATGAGACTAAATAGATTCATCTAAAGCATGGCTGAAAATAACTATTCAGAGGTTATTGGTGGTATCTGGGACCATTTATATAGTATTTCCAGTGCAGTGATCCAGGGAAATCCAGCATAAAAGCATTCTTTTCAGTTTGCAAGACTTAATTTATTATTTTCTAGCAACACTGGCTAGGGAATATTAGAAGTCAGAATGGGCATTATTCTAGTGGAAACAGTTGATCCATGGTTACTGTAATCGGAACGTCTATGTGATGTAATGCTGCCATTACAGCATTTTTAATCATGCTAAAAATATGGATAATTGCATGGAAGTACTCATATTTCCTTGTAGTTAGAACCTAACTAGACAACTGAGGGATATTAACCCACATTTTCCTGACAACAGCTTGTAAAAATGTATATGTTGTTATTATGTAATGACAGTAGTGTTGCCCTGCCTGCCCCCTATAAGCTACAAACAATGAATTGGTATGGGAGCCTCGTTACCAGTTCTGAATATTACATCACAGCTGTTTCTATGAGACTTGCTAGGAGGGCAAAAATTATTTGCAGACAAACTCTGCCTATAATGTAAATTAGGCATTTAGTAATAAGCATATAATTAAATATTTGAATGAATGCTTTGCTTCAGTGAATGTTCAAATAAGGCAACCTCTTGGACCTTCATGAAACAACATAGCCGCTTCTTTTCTAAAACTGATCATTTTGCATTACTTTCCTTTGTGGACCCTCTCAGCCTTCTGCAAGCTTGCAATGTCTTCCAGGCTGGACAGCTTCATTAAATATTATGGGTAGTGCTCTAGTACACACCAAAGCAGCCTAGCTGGAGCCTCCCTAGTGTGCACCAAAGCTCTTCCAGGATGGACAGAGCCAGAATATTCTGAATTCCACCACATGCAGTTGCCCGACCTTGAAGCATTTTGCCCAGCTCCGGGGGACTGTTTATTTCGATGAAGAAAATTACGCTTGTCAGTGCAAGTCTAAATGGCTTTGCGTAGGCCTAATTGAGGAAATACATAATAGAACTAGCTTTTTGTTGAAAAGAAGTATACGTAAAATAAAAGTAAGTAACATTCTTAGCCATATTCTGAGTACTATTTGTTTTACTGTGAAGTGAAGCTACCATTACAGCATTTTTCATCAGACGTTATAATTGTCATTCTAAAAATCTATGAGATGACATTAGGCATTTTTAATTTGTACTGTGATTTTTAAGACAAGTGCAGGATACTCAGAAGTCACTCCAACTGGATATAATGAATTTATTTCCAATTATAAGTGTGTAGGAATGCAGCCTTATAGCATTGTTTATATATTTTGTATAACTTGGAAATTATTTCCATCAAAATCTTGTACAAAGATGTACAAATCTTATTAAATGTTTTTGTTATGTTGCAAAATAGTAATTAAAATCAATTTTTAAAATGATTATGCTATCTTCCTCTGATACTGACTTACCATAAAAAGAGCATATCTAACTTGATTTAATTTATTCAACCACTGCCCAATGCAAAAGAACTCTGGGTGGCTCACAATGTACCAAAATAAAATAAAATATGACAAACCAAAATCCCCCAAAAACCAAATAACTAAGAGGCAGATAATGAAAAGGAAAAGAAAAGAAAAGTCCAGTGGTCATGACTCAACCTCCAGACAATTCCACCTGGATGACTTAGAATCTTCATCAATGAACAAGATGGTGACTCTGACCAACAACAAAAGTCACAAGGGTCTCCAGCCACCCTAGCCCAGGGCCTGGGGAAAGAGCCAGTTCTTTAAGGCCCTCCGGGGTCAATTCATTCCAGAGGACAGATGTCATGCCTCCTGGGTCCCAAAAGATGATACTGTTTATTTGGAGGGAACTAAAGCCCACTAACCCTGTCAGTTCGTATTGCCTGGGTAGACACCACAGGAGACAATCCCTCAAATAACAGCACCCTATGCCATGTAGGGCTTTTATAGGTCATAACCAGTACCTTGAATCACACCTGGAAGTTGTTCTTATAGTGGCCAGAACTCCACTCACGTTCTTCAGCAACTGATATTCAAAGGCATATTGCCTCTCAAACTAAAGGTCATATAAAACCACTGTGGCCAACAGCAGCCTTATCCTTATATGAACTTATATAATTCCCTTCCGAAGTTATTTAAGATGATGGATATTATAATATCAAGTTAACTAGCTCTATAGCTAACCTATATGCTATATGAATAAGCATTTCTTTTTATATTGTTAGGATGTCACATGCATTTTCTCTAAAATATCTTTATATATTGCCAGCACCTCACTGTTAATCCAAAATAAAAAAGCCCAACTAGTGTAAGTCTTGCTCAAAGGGAATTGTTCCATCCCCTTAATTGTCTTTTTCTGCAGTTTTTCCAGGTTTACAGTATTCTTTTTAACATACTGTTAATGTTATCATCTTAAATGTGGTTACCAATGTCAAATTAAGTATAATGTAATAGTGGAATCTGAACTAATTATAGAATGATACTTATGGAATAATTCACAAAGCTGAGGAACGTACACCATGGTGATCATAGCTGATCATGAATTTCTGGCTACTGCAGAGTTGTAATATAACAAATATGAAAAATGGTCACAATATTGAAAAGAGTTTACTTTGAGGAAGTCAAACGGGTTTGAGGAGTAGGATTCAAGGCCTAGAACAGGAGTGGAGAATCAGCAGTTCTCCAGCTGTTGCTGAGCTTCAATTCCCTTAAATATTTTCACTCAAGGACTTCAGTGATGGGCAGAGGGTTATCTTCATTAATACTTGCTTAGTCCTTTAAAAACATACTAAGCATAACATTTTCTAAATAAACTGTAAAGCCAGTATGTTTGCATTGTTTTTTTACAATTTATCTTTTTTGAATTACTGTATTTTACAATTCAAATCTTGTATCTATGCTTTAATACAAAGCAGGAATTTCAATAAATGATAAACAAATTGTAATTTAAAAAAATATATATTCAAAACTTTGGGACTCTGTCCTGCTTGTTTTCTTTTTTCCCCACATATAGACCGAGACACTTTTTTTAGATTTTTTATCCTGCCTTTATTATTTTAATAAATAACTCAAGGTAGTGTGAGAAAAATGAATCTTTGGGTGAAAAAGACAAGTTTTTAGAGGCCTCAGATGAAT